CACACAGTAGGGGCCCGACCACAAGAAACCCTCCACAAGAAACCCAACCCTGAGTCCCCAAGACGTCTATTGATTTTTGGTGTGAGAACGTCACGCTCTCCACCGCAAAACCGTCGACACCCAAGAAACCCAGGGCACCCTGGAGGCGAGCAAGCTGTTTCTTGGCATGGGTCTCCACGGCGTGCTCGCACCGCGGAACAATCGGGACGGGGAAAGCATCGTGATGAGACACCGGTCTCCGGGGAAGGGGTCGGGAGGAGAAAGCAGGGGGCGCAAGGGGCGGCAGGGGCGGCAGGGGAGGAGGAGGAGGAGGAGGAGGAGGAGGAGGAGGAGGAGGAGGAAGAGACCTCTGGGGGCCCCGTGCTGAAACACAACTCAAAGCATCGCATGGCTGGGGAGGCGCCCAGGCGTGTCTCGCGCGACGCGACTGGGTCGGGCTCTTTCTTCGGGCTGCGCGCCGGCAGCCCCCCCCCCCACAGGTGGTCCCGGCTGGCAGCTGGCCGCAACGGCCCCCCTCCCCCCCCGAGTGGCCCAAAGGGCGGTCGGAACACCCAGGCACCGCCCCGGGCGGCGCCCCTATGGCGCTTCGTGCTCGGGCGGCCCATGGAGGCCAGCCGGGGCTGCTCTCAGGTCGGGCGTGTCCTCCGACAGGGGGATTTCGGACGAAACATGAAAGGTAGCCCAGACATGCTCAAACAAAGATCACAAATAGTTGAACAAATCGTCCCCCGACGATTCTTCGATGATTTTTGGACACTCCTCCTGTAAAGGGACAGGAGGCCCGACTTGAGACCACTCGCGGGGGTGGGCGGCGCCGAGCCCGAGGAATCCGCGTGGAGCACCGAAAGCTCACCAATATAAATTGTTCCCTCTTCGAGGGAAGAGGTGCGCCTGGGGGAGCACAGCGGCACCGATGCCGGTGCTCCCGGGACCTCTCCCCCAAGGCGCGCCCCAGCCAGGACTCCGACCAGAGTCCAGCCTGGGCGACGAGAGCTCCCCAGGAGGAGCGACGGCAGCGGCCCCTCGCTGGGCCCCGCGGCCGTCGGACAGCAACCCGGGGTACAGAACGCACCACGGGGGACGGGTCGGAGATTCTCGGGCCGGACGAAAGGGGGGCATTCGGAAAGGGGGGGTTACGAACTCTGCTGCATGCAGCTGGCTTCGGCCCCACTGAGGGGCCCATTCCTGGATACATAGCCGCCTCCGGCGCCGGGAGGCGCCGGGAAAATCAGCTGCGTGAGCTGATTCTCCAACCCCCCCTGTGCTATCCCCCCCTTTCGCCCAACCCGGGCTTCTGGGGAGCCCACATGGAGCCCACCAAGACGTCGGAGGTCTGGGTGCCGATGCGGGCGGGGAGGGGATGCTGCCGTGCTCGCACCCGGGGGCCGCAAGTTGTCAAACAAACTTCCGTCGGGTGATGTTCCATCGACGCTGAGGTCGGGCATGCCCCCCTACAAACGAATTTTAAACGAAAAACGCAACATACGCAAACATAGTCAAACAATACTAAAGAAGTCGTCCCGAAATTGTGTTTTACTATTTTCAAATACTCCTCCTGTAGAGGGACAGGCCCGACTTAAATCGACGCGAGCATGTCTGGTTTTCGGGCCATACCTCAGGCCCCCGGCGCCCGTTCGGGACGATCCGAGCACCCACGGAACGCCCTCGGCGAGGCGCAGGCTGCTGGAACGCATCCCGAGACGACTCATGGGAGCCTCCCACACCATCGCGTTGGCCTTTGCGAGTCGACGCGAATGGACGCTGAATCGGAGATCACCGACGCCAATCGTCGCAAGACTGGCGCTATCTCATCGATGACAAGACGCGGATCGACGTGAGCACACTCTAGAGACGGAGTCACGAGGGCATGGCAGGCCCTCACGACATGCTACATAACGCGTCTGGAAGCTAGCTTTAGGGGGATAGATAATGCCGCTCAGTGGGTGGAGCCCTTTTAGCCCAGATGGATACCACCCTAAGCCGCTTGGGGCATGTGTGACCCAATCTATGAGATCACAGGGGCCCGAAAACAACACCTGGAGGGCGAACAAGGCAAAACATAAATCCCCGAACCCAGAACCTCGAAGCTGCCCGCCCATCCTGCCGGCCAGAACCAATGTTGGGCCACCTCAGACCCTAGAGCCCTTCTAGATGGTGTCGGAGTAGATGGGGTCGGAGGATCGCGCCGCATCGCCGATGCATCGGCGATGTGTCGGCGATGTGTCGGCGATGCATCGGCGACGTCGGCGATGCATCGACGCCGTCGGCGTGCAGAACATCGGGGCTCACATCGAGCCGCATCGCCGATGCATACGCGATGCGGCGCGACCCTCCGACCCCACCTACTCGGACCCCATCCAGGAAGCCTAGAGACCGCAGACGGCTTCAAATATTTTACCCCTCGAGGTTCCGAACTCTATACACCGACGCTTTGTCTGGCCACGCACTGACATTTGCTCAGGGAAGCGGATCATAGTGTATACGAAATCCTGGTGTATAATGTCCCGCTGTTTCCCCGAGAGATCGGGAAGACAAGCATACACCACACCACCCCGACGTCGTCCCCGACCCTCAAGAAGTCCTGGAATGGAAAAACAGCCCGCCACTCGTCATATGGGGCGCTTCAAAAAGGGCCTTGCCTTCAAAGATAGAAGGAGCTGCCATCTCTTCCGCGGCGAAGGCGGCGGAAGGTCGGCGGAAGTAAAACGAGGCCGCCTCCGCCGGCGGAAGCCGGCGGAACGGAGGCGGAAGTAAAACATGCGCCCCTAAGAGATGACAACGTTTTTGGGTTCAAGACTTTCAACATCGCCCACATGTGCATATGTTACAATTGCCGGCGAACCGCTCCAACATTTTTGTTCCCCCTCGGAACGCGCTGGAAACTCTGAGATCTGGCGGCACTGGGGGATGTCTCGGGCGCCACGGCCTCCTCAGAGCATTCCCCAAGACGCTCTGAGAGCGTTTCGGAACGCTCTGGAACGCATGTCTCCTCACCCTCGCCCCGCCCGGCTTTTCCTGAGATGCTCATTCTGGGGACCTTCCTGGAGCCACTCGCTCCACTGGTGCGTCGAAGCTGCGGCGAACCTGAGTAGAACCTGAGTCGAAGCTGAGTCGAACCTGAGTCGAATCTGAGTCGAATCTGTGTCGTACCTGAGTCAAACTTGAGTCGAACCTGAGTCGAACAGATCCATTAGGTGGGCCCCAGGAAGGTCCCCCAAACGAGCATCGAATTTTCCCCGTCGGAACGCGCCTGCTCTCGCAGCTGCAGGGCCATCCACTCCAGGGCCTCCTGCTCGCCCGCGCCGGCCAGCCGCGCTCGGCGCACGGCCTCGGCCTCGGCCTGCCTCACCGAGGCCACGCGCGCGGCCTCCCAGGCGCGGATCTCCTGCGGGGGGGGAGCGCCGACGCCGAGGAGCGGTTTTGGACTTCGGCGTCTCGACACTGGGCGGGAGGGGAGGGGGAGGGGCGGGGGAGAGCATGCTGCTGCTTCGCGCGAGCGTGATGTCAATGAACGAAAGGCGAATTGGATCCGTCAGTGGACCAGCCTTGTGAACGGACGTGAAGGCTATGGTGCTTCTTTTTGGCAGTGGGCCAGCTTATGAGACTGACCCATGCCCACCCCTTCCCGCCTCCAGGGACTTCGCATCCCCCTTATGATGGTGGGACGGGGAGACGATCCGCCGACCCCTGCGCCGCCCCCGCACCCTGGCTCCTGATCTCTGCTTCGTGGGACTGTTTTCAACAACGCGTCCTATGGGGGAACCCCACCTGCTTGAAACGGGCGCCAAAAACAGCCAAGATCTACTCCATGGTGGGGGGGGGAGGGGGGGCGAGGGATCTGGGGTGCGCCCTGACCAACATTTCGGAGCGGATGCAGCCGTGGCCAGAAGGGCAGCCCAGGACGATCAAACACGTCCAGGGAATGACGAACCTCGATTCGAGGTTCGCCGTTCCCTTCCAGCTTCGAGGCTCGATTCGAGGCTCGAGGTTCCAGCTTCGAGTTTAGAGGTCCTCGAACCTCGAAGCTGGAGCCTCGAGCCTCGATCCCCTGGGCCCGTCCCGCCCCCCCCCTCTAGGAGGGAACTCCTGGGAGGTCTTCGTGAAGACGGCTTGAAGCTATTACTAAGTCGGGCGTGTCCCCCTACAGGGGGATTTTCGACGAAATAAAAAATACCCACAACAAAACTCCCAAATTGCCAAACAAAAATCACAAAAAAACAAAAAAAAGTCCCCAGACTATTTTTAAACTATTTCTGAATCTTCCCCCTGTAGAGGGACAGGCCCGACTTATTGCTATTCAACCCAAACCCAATTCGAAGGTGGTTAGCGAACCTACCTCGCCTTGGACCGCCCTCGCTTCCAAAGGCTACCGAACGATACCAAGCTACGGCCCGCACCAATCAAGCCGCTGGACGAAAAGGCGCGTGGTACGACTTGGTTGTGTCTGGAAGCGAAGACGGGGCAAGTAACTCACGCTCTGAATTCAGGAGGCACATTCAGCCTGGGACTAGGCCGAATCAAAGCCAGAGAAAATCGGAATTAGCGAGGATGATGCCAGAATGAGACGGTTCGCGACAGCGCCGGTGTTGAATTATAACCTCCCGTGAGCTGCATCCTAACCGCCCTTGTCGTTGCACCCGAGTCTCCTCCTGCGCCTCACTCGAGGGCGCACCTAACCAGCCTCGAGCTCATCCCTGCCCATGAGTTGACTCGCCAGAAAAGGCCATGACAATCTCAGGGATGCGCCCTCAGAGCCGGAGGGAATCCTTGAGATCGGCATCGAGATGGGGCGATGCCACTCGTTCGAGGAAGAAAAGACGCCATACACATAAGCATAAACGACATAAACATAAACATAAACATAAACGTTCGACTTCATGGATCTGCGATGGACTCCCCTCCCTGGCGCGCAGAGCGCGCCAGGGGCGGCGCCGGAGGCGCCGCCGGGGGGGGCCCAGCGCGGATCCAAGAAGCCCGCGCGGAGCGCCAACAGTTTGTGT